ATATTCTTAGAGCAATGGTGCACAACATCTACATCTGACTGCCAAGGCCTACCTAGCAAAATATCACAAAGAGACATAGGAATTACATCAAAGTAAATTTCATCCCTATACTCACCAATCAAAAGGTACCATGGCCTTTTAGTAACATCCACAACCATCTCTTCACTCAACCATTGAAGCTTGTATGGTCTAGTATGCGGATCCATCTTAATTCCGTTTGCTATGCAGAATTCCTCACTTACACAATCAGTACTCGACCCACCGTCGATTACAAATCAACTTCATTGGACCACCCAACCGAACACTTACTACGGAAGATACAAGTCCGTTGATCTCCATCCTCGGCTCCAAACACCAACCCCTGATCCTCAATTGGACCATTCCAACCACAAGAAGTATCATGCTCTCTTTCCACTTCTAAGGCAGCATAGTATGCCTCATAGAGCCTTGATTGTCTCCTTATCTTTGGATGTTGTTTGAAACACTTGTCCAAGCCATAGTGGAAACGGTCTGTCAACATGTAGTCGTTCTCATCCACTTCTGAACTCAGAAACAACCCCTCTAATTCCTCAAAGTAAGATTGAATGGATCTACCATTCTGCTTACAATTGAGCAACTTCACTTTTGCTTCATCAAAGTTGTTAGTACCAGCATATCTTTCTTGCAAAGCACTTCTCAAATCATTCCAATCATCCAAATTACGAAACCAATAATGCGAATAGATATTTGAAACTAGTTTCCACCAATTCAAAGCATTAGAACGAAAACAACCTATAGCTAAGGCTATTTTCTCACTCTCTTTATCTATGTTAAGCAACACAAACAAATTCTCTATGCTCTTCTCCCAAGTATCATATTCTCTATGACAACCATAAAACAAAGGCAATGACACTTGCAACATTCCAGCATACGAGGGTACTTGTTTAACTTCAAAACGATCACATAAGACTCTTAAATTTTCAGCAATTTTCTCAAAACTTACCATAGCTTTATCTTGCTGATTTGAAAGCATTTGAGACAAGTCTCGGTTTGCCTCCTTAACCTCGGCCAAAGCATCATGTAGGAAGTCAATTTGACTCTTCATGAGCTGTACTTGAGCCTCCATGCGACCCTCTACACTCTTTGAAGCGATTTGAGTACAACCAGCAACTCCGGATGACATCTTTGCTCAACAATTATGAGAATCCACCAACAAAAGAAGTAGTGTGCCTTGTTTACTACACAAAAACTCCTTGAACCCTAGAACCAAAGTATGGTTCGGCTGAAAACCCCCCCAAGAACCAAAGGAAGGTTCAAATAAAGCTCTCCCCAAAAACAAAAACTCTCTTGTGCTTTTAAGAACACAACTCTCAAAAATTTCAGAATTAAAGAGAAGAGTGCTTCTCTTGCTTTTCTCTTTTGATCTCGGCAGCAAGAAAGAAGAAGAAAAAATTGGAGTAGAGTGTGTGAGAATTTTCGAAAAACAGCACTCCTAGTTATAGGCAATGCAAGTCTTTTTGTGCAAGAAAACTCCTACAAGATAGGACCTAAATTTTCTCAAAAATATTCCCCCCTAATGGATGAAGGTTTGCTCGACAATGTGGAATAAAGAAGAAGAAAAAACCGGCCTCATATATATAGACAAGGATAGAGTCCTAAAACTTAGGTAAACATAATCCTTTTTGGACACAAATTAAGAAAACTCATCCCTACTTATTAGAGATAAAATTTTCGACCCCCCCTACTACTAAAAGGACTCAAATACACAGCCACACACATGCACAATTGTATTAGAAGACTAAAAAATTTTCAGATTAGGATAATACTTCCTTATCTTAATAGTTTTCGAAAATAGACTCACTTTAAAACTCTAATTATAATCTCACTGAAATTATAATTTAACACATGCAAAAATTAGTATTTAAATCCAAGTAGGACTTAAATAAAACACACAATAAAATTGTATTACAATTAGGAAACAATGGCTGTAAATTTCGGCCAATGTGAACACAAAAATCCAAAACCGAATAGGACTCAAATCATAACACAATTTGGACTCAATGACCTTAATTTTAGAGCTAAAATTTTCGGCCATGTGAACACACAAATACAAGACCAAATAGGTCTCCAAGTGTAACACAAATAGACAACCAAAATTCAAGTTCAACTAGAACTAGGAAAACCTAATTTTTAGCTTCACAATTTCAGCTATACTATGACTCTAAAATTCAAAACCAACTAGGCTTAGAATAACACATAAATCACAAGCACACACATGCAAAAAGTCAGCAAAATTTCGGCCATTAACCTTTTACCACATAGTTAAAATTTGAAAAATTACTTTTGACTCACTTAAAAAGGAAACTTGAAAATTACCACTTTCCAAAAATGGACAACAACTTTTAGAATCTTTCTAAAAACCCTTTTCCAAATTGTACTTGGAATTAACAAAAATCACCTTTTCACCAAAACAATCCATGGCAAATAAAGTAACAAGAACACCATAATTATAACTCAATTATGACATTTGCTTCATAATACTAAATTCAGCACAAATCATTCTGAAAACTCAATGACTTAACAATGCCATCTTCATAAGTGACCATTGAAAATCAATCTTCCAACAACCAAGTATGTAAACTTTGAGAATACATCTCAAAACCTATAAGATTTCTTGTCAAACATTAAGAAAATCTTTTTAGAAAAACTTCACTTAATTTTCGACCCTACTCTCGAAAATCAAGGTTTTAGAACACAAGTCAAAGACTTCAATCCTTAAAGTTGGCACAATTCAACTTCAAAGACCTTAACACACTTTGATACCAAAACTGATATCACTAAAATTCATTCCTTATCACTTGACAAAGAAAGTTTTTGACTCAAACTTAAAGTGTAAAAACTCGAGAATCAAGAAACCAACACTTGTTAATTTTGAAAAATCTTTTGACACTAAGACTAAACAAAATTCGGTCTCTATGAAATTTTCATAAATTGAAAATCCATAAATTCCATTTTACTCATTAGATTCAAATGAAACCAACAAGAAGGAAGGCTTTTTCATTTATACTTTATGTAGAAAGTACAAAATCCTTAAGCTTCACCTTTCAGAGAATAGATCCAAGATATTTACCACAAGATAAACTCTCAAATCCTCCTTATGTAAAGACATCTCTTTAGAAAGAAAAGGCTATCTCGAGCAAGAAGCTCTTCTTTGGCATCAATTCTCTCCTTAAAGATCCAACACATAAGATCCACTAACTTGCTCATAGGAGAAACAGTTCTCTACTTGCAAATCAAGGATAAATTTCAAGATGTAGCGCCCACTTTGATTAGATAACAACGTACCATCATCAAGCTCTCGCATAGACCTTAAAATAACACCACAAGATCAAACAAATGTGTAAGAAGTCTCGCACAACCACACAAAAGACAAGATCAATTTTGAAAACGTAGTTTTCACAAGAATTTGATTTATTTTTCAACACCCCATTCCAAAACAAGAAGGAACCTTGAAACAAATAAAGATAGTACTACTCGTTAAGTAGCACAAAGCTCGATCACCACACCAAGTAACGGATTCCGTGGTAATTCAAGATATTCTCAAAACCAAGAACTATAAAGTTCCCAACTAAGAAGAAATCTCTCGAAAATCAAACGATAATAGGAATTGATATGACAATATCAATTAATACCATCACTAAGATAATCCAAGCTCGATACCAAGAAACGATAGCAATCTCGTAGACGAAGCAAATTTCGTTAATGCAACCATCAACAAGAAACTACGAAGATAATTTTGTCTATCCCGTGAAACTCAAAAGAGTGCGGAAAATTCACAGTAAGACGATCGTTTATCTAAGTGATTCTATCTCTTAACTCAAACCAAGCAAAGAACACATTATCCATGAAAGATTCGAATTAAACAACAAACCACGCTAAGAATAGCAAGGACACCATTCAATATACTCGATCAGTCATTAATCAAGAGACTCAAGAAAGGTAGGAGCAAACAATGCCCAACTATGAAGGAATACTATTGATTAGTAATCTTCATAACCAACCAAAGATATGCAACACATACATTATCTCAAAATACTTATGCCAAAGCACAACTCATCCCAACAAAAGTAGGACAAACCCCACAATGGATCTCATGAACACACTCATCAGGAAATTCGAACACCAAGCCAAAGGAAAGGCTCATCAATCGAACTACTAGAAGTAGTATGAAAATAAGAAGTTTAGTTTTAAAACAATTCTATCAAGAAGCATACTTGAAAAGAATGGTTTCGCAAGATCAAAAGATCCAAGACAAGATGAAAACCCTCTTGGTTTAAACATACTTGACACGAAAAATGGACACTCCATTTAACAAAAATTCCTCACAGGAAAAACTCTCAAAGAGACAACAAAATGACCACTCAAGGGTGCTTCTAAAATTCGGCCAAGCCTCCTATATGTAGGCTTGAATTTTTCGGCCAGACCTCTAAAAAGAAGACCAATTAGGACTCTCTAATCTTATCTCACAAGGAGTAAAAGTAGAATAGTACTTGATCTCTTTGACTCTATCTAAAATCTAGGAAACCTTATCTAAATCACTTATCCTCAAGTAGGATAATATCTAGAAGGAATCTAAGACTCCTAATCAAAACACTCTAGCTTAATTCAGTCCACATGACTTATTTAACTAGATAAAATTCGAAAATAACTCCTAGACTTAGACAATGACTCTAATCTCGAAATTCAGCTCCAAATTGTTGAAGTAAAATGTCTTGAACGCCCTTCCAAAAGTGGAATATTGGTCTTGCGCCCCTTAAGTTGTAGAAACCTCCAATTTACTCCAAAACTTGTAGAATTCTCTTTATTGACTCCAAAAGATTGGAAAAACACTTGAAACAATTAAGATAGTTTGCAACCTATCCAATTGTGTAGCAATGGACTCAATCTTGAACACTTGGATCAAATAGGCCGTCCACTCATGAACCTAAATGACTCTTCTCACTAGCTTTGATCAATGATCTTCATGGAGCACACAGAGTCAAACTCTCTTGATACTCTTCAGTACTTATTTCCACGAGGTCTTCATCTCCTTTGGTTTGCACCCCAAAGTTAATGACATTCTCATCACCTTGATCATAGCTCTCTTGAACCAACTCCCTATCACATAGGTAGTCAAGATCTATCCTTTCTTCCTTGATTGGCTTGCAAAGTAAACTTGGCATTCCAAATCTAGAATGAAGGACTAACTCATTCCCCTCACTAGGAGAACCTTCATGGAAGGCTACATGATTCTCATCACAGTTCCTAACCAATCATGAAGACAGAGATGTAATATATTCAGATAATTTAGGAAAGAGTATGAAATTATATGAAACTGACACAGATATAATTATCTGCACATTTATATATGAAAATATACCATCTGATACAGAACAATTTGATAGTGTTATCGAATTCTGAACAACAGCTGACTGAAATTTCAACTTCTTATGTGTTCTGATCTGGTATAATTTATTCTTTCTTAACATCCTTGAATGTTTAGCATTGATACGCTCCATTTTGGGTATATTTACCGAATGCTTTTGACGTTGTACCGTATCAGAATGCATACCTCCATCTAACTGACCTTTCAAATCTGTTTCCTGGTAAATCTTGCATCCTTACCAATGACAGCATCATTGATTTGAACTGTAGAAATCACCACTGTTTGCTTATTTCTTCTGCGTAACTGAAGCGACAACCTTTTTGCTATTAATAAATCTTTCCTAAACAATCTTGCTTCTTTTGCAGAAGAATTTACCATTATGAAATTTTCTGAAACCAGATGTAAAAGTAATTCACAATACTCTTTGATTCAAAACATAATAGTATAATAATGATTGTGAATGTACTTGTGAAGTAGTATCTTAATTTTTGATAAAATTTGATCTATATATGGCTAAAATTTTTGTGTTAATCAAATATATGTGTTTAATTATAATATTGTCATCCTAAAAAAGTGGGATCTGATATACTTGTTCAATTATGGCATATCAAGATTTTTTATTTTATATCCAAAATAATTTCCTACTGTACATCTGTATTCTTTTTAAAAAAATACTTTGATTTTTTTGAGTATTGATTTTCTTATTTTGATAATTTTTTAACTCAATTTGATTACTGGTTATTTACTCACGGTCTTATTTTCTTTAACTATCATTGTAAATAATTGACTAAAATACGCTGTTAGTGTATAATCCAATTGAAAATGTTGTGGATAATTTTTAGACATTGTTAATGTATATAAAATAAAATATACACGTGCAAAAAAATATGTTATAAAAAAACTTAAAAATTGCATTGTTTTAATCTAAATTAAATAAAAAAATACCAGATAGTGACTTTTACAGGACTTCTATAATTAGATACTCTTTATTACATGTCTTGCGAGCATCTATACGGAACCCTAAAGTTATACCTAAAGGTATTTTCTTCAAATCCACCATGTACTTTATATCACCTTCAATAACAAACCGATGTGGATTGTCATTAGTGATAGCTCGTTGCATGTTAATTACTGGAACTCCATCATAGTATAAAATAGCATTTGTGTAGTCATCTAACTTCAATCGGCGTACTATATGCCAGGGTGCCTCCTGCAATATGATTAAAAAATTGTTTATAATTGAATAATTAATTCGAATTCCTATTGGATGTAAACTACTATCAAACACTTTTGATTACCAATCTGCCATGGTGGATTACAGTGTCAGTCATGACTGCAGAAAATGTGTTAGGATCACCGTTGCTGCATATAGTCCACTGTGTCAACTTCACCTGAATATAAATTAATATTAGTATTAGAATATGTATTATGATAATAATGTTAGTTGAATTTAGTGAATTAATTATAAGAAAAACAGTAGGTACAAACCTTCAGATGTATCTGAATCAACAATATCTAGGTTGCAGCAGTAACCTTCATTGTTGAAAAGCCTTAAATGGAAATACAAATTTCCAGTGTAAATAACAATTACATTCACACATTTTATTCTGTTATAATAATAGTCATGAAACTCCTCCCACATCCGGCCTTCAAAACCTACTGGTTCATTATTTTCCTTCATGATCATGAACTCCCATTGATTGCGCTTAACATCAACACACTTTGCTGTAGTTTGATTTGAAGGCCAATCAATACCATTATAGAAACATTTTTTAATAGCCTGAAAACCATGAAATCCCATTGATTAGTCCAGTTATATGTATTATTAAATAGTTCTTCAATGTAAAGTACTAAGATAAATAAAAAATAAATGAATTATAAAAGTTAATAACACTTATAACTTACAGCTTGTTTGGATGTACTATCATCTAATCTCAACAGATAGCGGTTACCAGTTCTTGCATTGATATCTGGGTGAATCCTTTCACATCCATCATAATTAAAATAAAATAACTGTAACACATTCAGGGATCTGTGATAAACAACATTAATTTTGGATCTGGAAGATATACCGAAATCATGGAAAAAAGCTTCCAGATCAGATCCATATAACTGACATCTCCTCTTCCTAGTGATATGGATATTTGCATAGAAATATCGATTTCCCTGGAAATCAATCTTGATCTGTTTACCAACTTGCCTCAGGACTGAAGTTAAGTTACTGCTAAGAATCTAATAATTTACATAAAACTGGTTGTCAGTAAGGAATTTTTATAATCGATCAGAATACAATTAGAAAATTATAAATGACTTACCAATCCTTTTCTGCGAATGTTTATTGGAACACTAATCAATTGATCATAAGCTTCTTCCATTGTTTACTTCAATGTAGTCTGTATGGTGATCTCAGAGTCTATATGCTATATGAATATAAAAAGGGCTTATGGAGTATAGTTTTTTTGTTCTGGAAATTTAATCTGTAATGATGATTTGACAGGAAAAGCGTATAATATTATCTCCTCTTTATGGCAATTAAAGATAACCCCTAAAAAAATGGGATTTAAAAGAATCAAGAAAGTTATAAAGAATAATAATATGTTCTGTATGTAGCATTGTTTCAAATCCACAAAAAAAACATGATTACAATGAGCCGCTTTTTTAGGACCTGGAAAAGTATTGTATTTTTTTCATTTAAACTCTCTAAGTAAAATAGAATACAAACACTTTTACTAAAACAGTAATTGATTTCTGATAATTCAACGTTAAAATAAAAATTATTTCTGTTCCTATAAAAATAAAAGTAAATTGCCAATTCACTGTGATTTCATCCTCATCTTCTCCTTCCTTCTATGTGCTTTCATTTCTTTAAATTCTGAATTCAATGGTAGCAACCAACGGACACCCCTTCTTCTTCACCCCATTTTCTTTATTTTAAAGCCCAAACATAACCTGGTTACAGAAGTTTGAAGTAAAGACCAGCTAAGGAGCCGAAAATAGGAGAACAAAAGCAAACAATAGAAAAGGCAAATTGCAATCCTTTTAACTTAGATTCAATTCACCTTTTCCTGGGATTTCATGGTCTTAAAATCACTTAAGAGCCCTTGGATAATGATGAGAAGAACAGTGAACTTCAATTGAAGGCAAATTGTTTATTTTATGGGGAATTAACCGGACGTGGTTGAAGATATGCTTGATGTTGTGATTTCTTCTTTCTTTCTTTGTTCCTGACCCAAGGGAAAACCTTCTGTGAGGATAACAAAGAAGTTTTTTGCCATAAAGAACTCTGGAAAATTATACTATAATGAAAATATATGATTCTCAGAGTTATACTTTTGTATCTGATTGTTATTGAACAATTATGAGACTCCAGTGTGAAGGTTCCTTTTTATAACGATTTGTATATAACTATATATATGGAAGTTGTACAAAGCATCTGTTTTAATGTTTTAAATTAAGGTATTTCAGTTAACATGCTACAATATTTATCTCTCAACTATACTATTCTTTTATAGTAGTACACTTCATAGGTTATAACTCTTATGACTGCATATTCACACAGGAATCTTTTCACCTTCCTGTTTGTATTTCATAAACTACTATTCAAAAGTTAACTTATTGTTTATAAAAGCAACTGCAAAAGTAAATGTACTTCTTCTGAAGATGTCATATTCTAGCAATCACATATTATAAAAATCTTTAACACATCGGTAAACATAATATATAATAAAACCAGATAATAGTAGATATTAATCATGAAAAACTGGAATCCTCAAATACAAAAGAAATTAACTATCCACAGCACCAAAAAAGTATAACGGTACTGGAAAAACTGTAAAAATAATAATGTCTCATCAGAATAACAATTCTGGTTATAGGGAACACCTTAAAAAAAATAAAGTGTATGTTTATTGTTGAAGCAGGAAATAGCAAGTGCTTTCATCGACATCAAAGTTTTCTGACACGTCTGTTGGGATTGGATTTGACACTGTCCTCACCGCAGCTTCCTGCACTTTTATTTTTTGGAGGAGGACTGTCAGCCATGTCATCGGCCAAATTCCCTGTATCTCCAGTGCAGGATACTGCAGTCTGCAAATAATGAAACATGTAAGTGTCATCCAAATATTGTTATTTTAAATGTAAATATATTTGTTTAGTATATTATTCCTTGGCGGTGCTATCCTGGGCAGGTGTCAAATTTTGGTAAAACTCTGCACACATCTCAGGATCAATCTCCTGTTTATCATATAGGAATAAACTTAGATTATCATGTGCATCTTCTTTAAATCAAGTACAAATCTATTAAACTGTATATGACTATATAAAAATGTGAACAAACCTGATCTTCAAAAACATCATCAATGTACTTCTTGATCATTTCTGCATTAGTAGTAAACCTAGCAATAGAAATCTCACTACTACTATTCCTGATATTGTATCTAGAGACATCCACCTTGAACAGACATTTCTTGCCAACAATCTCATCTAGTATTTTAGGGTAATCTTTTCCTGCCTGGATACATGATGATGGTCATAAAAAACCATAAAAAAGTTTTAGTAATAAAATGTACACATTAAAAACAATGAATAAAACCTGTTCACAGAGTTTTTCTGCAGACTTATTGATAAAATTGTAGACCATCCTATCCAAAAGGGTCAAAATTCTGCTACCAGTAGCATCCATTGCATACACTTGTAACTTGAACCTATTCATAAAATCATGCAGGAAAATAGTTTATAACAGAGTAACATATCTGCAAGTTTGATAACAACATATTATTTATTATTTTAATTACAAAAATAGATTGTAAATTATTGAAACATACTTTGGACCAACAGCAGACACAGGGCAATGATTACCACAAAACTATTTTTTTTCAAGACCAAATTTCTTGTTGTCACTGGTATTTCTTCCTTTTGCTGATGGTACAATACGGGTACCTTTTTCTTTTCCAATTTCCTCCACCTTCTTGTTATAATCTCTGCAACCAATGTATGACCATTCATACTCTTTTGCTAAGCCTGTGATCTTGCCAAAAATCACAACATACCCTGCCTGAAAAAATATAGTTTTCATATGCTTATACATTCGTAGATCATGGAGATAACATAGTTATGTACGCAAATGTTAAAATAATTATCACTATTAATATGTTACCTCATCAAGATCATCTATGTCACCCAATGACAAAGTTTTGCTCCATTTATGAATTCTTCATAAGATGTATATCCAGAACCGTGTGAAAGCATTGAAATTTTTTGGATACTTGCAGCTTTCATTTCATTGGCACTACATCTGTATATAGTGTTTGTAAATAATTACAATATGAATAAAACAGTAATTATGCAACTATATGGTGATAATTATAGTGGTTAGTAAGAATAATTATACCTGTCTTTGTACTCTGATATGTCGGGTATTGCCATATTATCAAGATATATCTTCCCATTAAAAAGATTAGTAGTAACATAAGCTTTTGCTGTTACATAGTAAAAAAATTACATGATGATTATAGCAATTTCAAAAACTTTAATTTAATATGAGTACATTCAGATACATATAAGTAAAAAGAGTACTCGCAGTAGTATTTTTTGCACTTAACATATTGAACAATGAGAACCACAGGAAACGGAGGATTGTTAAACATATATTTAGTGACTTGATCAGCATGTTCACCCCATAAAGTAACCTTTAGCTTGTCAGCCCTGCAAAACAGAAGACATTTTTGTAGTACCAATGTTTTAATTCCTACAGTATAATCCACTATGAATAATTACTGTTTAGACTGTAAAAAAAAAAAGAAGAAGTAACATTCACCTTTCATCTTCAAGCTCCACTGAAATCCTCTTCTTTTCATTTTTAACAATTGGATCGCTGTAAGCCATGATGTGGCCTATCAAATCTACATAGTTGAAAATATTTTAAACTTTTTATACAAATTTTATAAGGAAATTTCACCACAACTTTAAAATCATCTCACCAAAACAATAATCAAAGTTGGCCACAAAGTTTGTAACTTCTGCCAATAGTGTGAACTCAAACACATGATCTGGGATGTCAAAATTAAATGCAGCTTCAACATTTGTGTTTGACATGAACACAATTTTGTATTCGTGCTTAGCACATCTGAATCCCCCACTAATATTAAGACAACTGTCAAATCTTGATAATCGTCTAACACAACCTTCTTTGAAAGAATCTGCAAAATCTTTCACAATTCTTCCAGGAATGGTTGCTTGAATTTTGCTTCCCTGATAAATATATACAAATAGGTAATAACATATACTACAGTTTAATAATTGTGCATGAGAAAACTCTAAAACCAATTATGGTGGAATAGTGAATACCTGAGCATCGATCAAACACATCTCAACAGACTTCACTTTGTTTTTTTTGGATACTTCTGGAACCTCCCAAAGTGTCATCACTTTGACAACTATGGTGAAATGGTTACTTTTTGTATCAATCAATCCATTGATGTCAACGATGTATCTTTGTGCAGCAAGTATGGGAACACCTGTAGCACCAACATCATTTGGTGGTGTAGCAATGAATCTTCAGATGGGATGACAATTGGATTATCCATAGCACTTCCATTCATAGTTTCAACAAAATCTTCAGGTTCAACAACTGAAATTGCATTTTGGTTAGTTTCAGCCATTAGTAAGATATGGGTAATATGAGAATCTGAAAATCTGGTTTTTGCGAATTGCAGGAATGGTCTGGTGCAGGATATGTGAGGATAATAGATGTATTTATACAAGTAACATGTTGTCTCATAGTATATTTGTGTAAATTAATTTGTGATGATAATGGTCACAGAAAGGAAGATATTTTGATATTTTTTCTGTGATTGGAAAGTGATTGTTGATATGCATAGAAAGCTTGCAATATATACGTTTGTGCAAAACAAATCTAGTTTTTGCAGGAATGGTCTGGTGCAGGATCTGGGAGGATAATAGATGTATTTATACATGTAACATATTGTCTCATAGTATATTTGTGTAAATTAATTTGTGATGATAATGGTTACTGAAAGGCAAATATTTTGAGAGTTGTTGTGTGCTTGGAAAGTGATTGATGATATGCACAGAAAGCTTGCAGATATATACGTGTGTGCAAAACATATATTGATTGGTTTTTTTGATTTCCAGTATAATTCCTTTCATATGAATCCTTTTAGAGTTTTAAATGCATTACAATTTCCATAAGTTACTGTGAAAAATTGACTGCTATGGTGATAATTATACATATGTGCATGTTAGCAAATTCTGTTCACTGATTATATTATCACATTCAATAAGGGATATGATGTGATCATTTCTTTTTTTAACACAGGAATTTAAGGCTGGAAAACGTGTTGACTATGCTGATGGGATGATTACTGTGAAAAGAATAATACATGAAGTGGAAGACTATCAAATCTGAAATTGTTTATCTTGACAATTTTTCTCGCTGGAATGGTGGAAATACAGTTTTAAGGAACACATCTTAGTACCCCAATCTACCACTTTAGTTTTTTTAGGTTGAATGTGTTTTTTTATATTTATGGACTCTTTTTTGGAGTTCCTATTTTGTGATTGATACGTACTATTTAATTCAGTTACATAAATCATTTTTACTGCTGTTTTATAGGAAAATTTAAACAGCACTTATTGCCAGACGTAGATAATTAGTTTCTTCCCTAAAATAAAGGTTTTCAAATTTAAATATTTAAATTTAATTTGTTCATTTGAAAATGGAATCACAACTGAAATTTTCTACACATATATGAAGCCACGTGGCATATTCTCGTTGATTCTGTTTTGTACTGAGAAGCGCTGAGAAGTTTTGGAGGGAAAATTTTAATTCTGGAGCTGACACATGTCTTTCGTGTCTGCTGCTTTAAGTAATATAAATAATAGTAATTGTAGATAGTAATTCATTTTTGTGATTTTTAAATCTAAAAAAATTAAGAAATTGTCACATAGAATTTGATATGAGACGAATAATTTCTCTATCTAGGTTTTCTATTAGTATATGATATAGATATAGATATATAGGTATGATTATCGTTTGGAAAAAAAAAAAGAAACAACATTTACAATCAATCCAACAAAATCCCCAAGCTAAAAGCAGTCAACACGTTAAGATCCGAAAAAAATCATCCCCAAGCTAAAAGCAGTCAACGTATTAAGATCTGAAAGAAATCATCCTAATTGATGAAATACAGAGAACCGCCATATCAAAGAAGTGTTTACAGGGACTGGCAAGCAACTTTTGAGGATTGAATAGCGATGCAAAATTGAAATAGTCCAAATTCAAGTCCCTCATAAGAGCCCTAAACAACCTAATATGGTTTTATTATACAAAGTGAAAGGAAATCTTACTGTTTCTGAATATTGTCAAACAGACAACAATGGACTTTTCATCTATAAAGTAGCTATTAGACAAAAAAATCACAAGCTTCACCACTTTCCTTTCACACTTGAACCAAACTACCATCTTTGGATTCCGAAATCGAGTCACTCTGATACCATCACTCTTTCAGTATTTGAAAGAACACACTTTTAGTTAAATCTAGAATGTGCATAAATGTCAAGCATGTATTAGTTTGCTCATAGGCAGATATCATATAAACTCTTGTCATTCTACACAAAAATTACCTTTAACTGCAAGTTGCAACATTCAAATAACCCAAAATTTCCTTATAACCCATGATCCTCATAAGTCACGATTCATTTCAATGACACAATCAATTTTCTACTCCAAGTTTCAAAATTTTTACCCAATTAATTTCGAAAGAAGTTTGGTAAAACCCTTATCTTAAATGAGTAGATAGTAGTAACAGATACTGTATTTCAAAACGGATTTTTCAAATTTTTTTAAAAAAAATTAGGCACTCATTTTTTAATACTGTATATCTATAAAAACACGAACCTTTTTCTAAATGTTCATGTTGTCAAATGAAATGTTTTAGTGCTTTGAAATAGATAAATGTTTTGAGTGTTTTTAGAATAAATTTTTGGGCTTGTCAAAGTAATTTTTCATTTACTTGAAATGAGTCTTAATAAAATATTATTAGTAATATCTGAAATAATTTAGTAAGACCAAAAAGAAAACGATAACGAACTTTCAATTTTCTTGAAATACATATATATATGTGTGAAGAAAAGGAAAGACCAAATAAGTTTTCTGCCTCGCAATACAATCATGTTAATTAGAAAAGAATCATCTAGTGAACCGAGAGAGAAATTAATAGTTTTTATATTTTCTTCCCTTTAATGAGTAGTAGTTGTTGAAAGAGATATTTTCCACATATTACCAGCAAATTAGATTCTTTCCCCCCCTAAAGATTTCTGGGATATCCTTAACTGCTGATCTGCTGGAATGATCTCTCTAAACAATATTAATAGTACTAGTTGTTACCCGCACAATGTGCCGGATAGATAATAATATTTTAATAAGTATACATATAAAATATTAAAAGTAAATAATAAAACATCTCATTTTACAAAAGGAAATCTTATTTCAACTATTTGTTTTCTGACAACTCTAAGATTGATTTGACAGATTGGATTTGGGAGGAAATATGAGGGATCTTACAACGAATCAGAGAGCAGCGAGAGAGGGAGATGTAATTAGCCGAAAGATAATCAAGATGAGTCTAAAGTGACAATATCATATTTTGATCAAGTTTTAAACCACTTTAAAATCCCTAAATATAGTGATTTGATTTGTTATGAAAAACTGAAAATTAGAACTTACATAAACCTGAAATATCAAAGGTAAGGATTTGATTTGATTTGCAAGATATTGTGGATATAAGAAGAATCTTTACATATGAATATTATTAATATAATAATTGTATATAGTAATTCATTTTTGTGATTTTTAAATCTAAAAAATTAAAAAATTGCCACATAGGATTTGGCATGAGAATACTAACTTAGAGTTTCTCTCTCTGAGCTTTCTATTAGTATATTATATATGTAAATAGATTTAGTTTCTAACTATTTTATTTCTAAGGAAAAGACACCATCACCAAACTGCTAAGTTTACATCTAATGTTCACATGACTTGCACAAGTCCGTTTCTTACTCTAGAACGACGATTCACTTGTCTAACTACATTTTAAAAGCAAGGGTAATTTTGCCACATAAGAACAAAAAATTATCTATATTCAGTAAAGTTATGGAAGAATATGAAAAATGAAAATTAGTTTGAGATTCCTTATTTAAAAACTTTACTAGTCATATAGAATACAAATATAATTTACCGAACGTGACACACTGACATTATTTGGATAACGGATATCACGAGATCAGGAAGAAGTTTTAAACATTTATATGAAGGAAGTTTTAGAGAGATCGAAATATTGTTAAATAAGAATTTGTTAGTGCATTTCCAATATGTTCAAAGTAAATATTGTAGTAATTTTCTTAGTTTTTTTTATTTTTTTATTTTTATTTCACTCGCTTAGTTGCGATTAGAATTTGTCGACATTCTAATCCTTTGCGTAGTAGTTTCATTTCATAGGCAATAGTTTCCATCATAAAAAAAAAAAATTTCCAGTTATTACTTGTTATGATTTTAATAATAATAATAATAATCATAATAATAATAATAAATTACAGTTTTACTTTGGGTCTTAAACGTAATTGTGTAAATCCTTAGGGACAACTATGCAATGTTACTCTCCATCTCGTCTCGTCAATGTTTGTAATTCTGATTTCTGAAACGCTTTTGAACGCTCTCTGCCTCTCTCTTCGCATCCTTCTGCTCTCCCACTACTTATACAGGTACACAAAGATCCTCTCTCTCCGTCTACAACGCATTTAACGATGGTGTTTCTTGTTCCTTTTTTCCATATTTTGATTAATATATCCGTCTTTCTCCCGTTCTTTAATGTTTCTTTTTCTGTCAGCGGGTCTGAAACGCGCTGATTAGTTCGTGAATTTCTTTTAAATTTGATCTTCTTGAGTAAAATTTGATTTTCAAGGTCTGTTTCACCGCGCACTTTTCAATTTCAAGTAGGGCTTTATTGGGTTTTGTTTTGGATTTTATGAACAGCTGAGAAAAGTTATATATCTTGACAATGGGAAAGGTTCACAATTTTGCGTGTTTCTGTTGTTGAAGTAGTATAAACATGTAAATTTAGTTGGAATTTTGTGGGGATATGTTTCTTTCTTTTTTTTTCTTTTTAATTATAAATATTTTAGTGATGTGAGAGAGAGGTTATCATTGCAGGATTAGGCTAAATACAAGAAGAACAAGTGCTAAATGCTGGTCAAACGGAAAGTTGCTGGGAGGAGTGATGCTGCGGTGGCACATTATGCATTTGGCCCTTTGGAAGATGACATAATTATTAAACATAGGCTTCTTACTCGGACGACAACAACGCGAGGTGAACCGCCATTGAAGAAGTTGCAGAAGAAGTTTACGGCCTTTGCTTTGGAGGTCGAGAAGGAAGGTGACAACTATGGTGATTGTGAGAGACTTGCGAAAGCATTCCTACAGGAGTTGAATACGTTTGAGATCCCTCTGCTCAAGAGCAAAGCAGTGATAGATGCTAATGTTAGGGAAAAGGAGAACTTCAATGAGTTGAAAGAGGTCATCAATAAAAAGATTTTGCAGGCACAGGATGATATAGAGGACTTGAAAAAACAGCTTGAAGCTAGTAAGATTGAGAGGCAGCATAAAGAGGAGTGTGAGGCAATTAGGAAGTTGATAGCAATGCAGCCGCCAAGGTCTGAGACTCAGAAGGTTATCTCGAAACTGGAGCGGGAGATTGAGATGCTCGAGGCAGAAAACACTGCTGGTTCAAGGACACTTGAGCTTCGCAAAAAGCAATTTGCCCTGCTGTTACACGTGGTATGTGAACTTGCTAAAAAACCATATTTCTGGTTTCTTTATTATTATTTTTTTTGGTCCCGCGTACCTGCTGTTTATGAGAACTTGCTAAAAATCCATATTTCTGGTTTCTTTATTTGTTTTTTTTTTGTCTGCCGTACCTGTTGTTTGGTGAATGGATAACAAAGTTTGTTTTAGATGCAATTGTTCTTGTTTGCTTTGAAGTGTCTCTATATATTAGTAAGTCTCTCTATACAACATCGAGTACACAATATTTGAATGATTGTTTCTTATAAATCTAATAATACTCTCTCCCTAGAGAGGTAAAGAGGCTCGTTGATTCCTTTATGTTTTCCTTTTCAATCACTAAATACATGGACAATTCGGTCTGATAATATTTTCTGTGTCCTACTGTTGATGTTAATCATCAAATCGTGGTATAGTTGCACCTATTTTAATCTGATACGGAAGTATTGGCTGATATTGAAGACTTCATATATAGCCAGATGCTTGGTTTCGAGAATAAAGGGAAATCTGATTATAGCCAGATGCTTGCATACCAACTTGGTATTTATCAACTGTTCGCTTAAAATTATTTATTGCTAAAAGTTCATCTGGAAGTATGCAAAAGTTGGGTTAGGCAATGCTTTGGAGATGAGAGTTCAAATTTTGTCATTTCAGAAGATGCAATGGCGAGCCAAATTAGTTATCACTGCCTTTTCATGTTCGCACTGATAGCTTCTGTCCACATTCGCTGCTTTATGTGGGACACATGTTAACGAGTTCTTGAGATTAAATCTTCTAGATTTGTGAATGCTTTCCAGGTTTTTGTTCCAGTGTCAACTTTGAAAGTTGCCTGATAATTGTATGGGTTTCGAAGCTTAGATTGTGCATGCCAATGTACTTTTTTTGGTCTCTTGTGGATATTTGGTGCGGAAACATGCTGGAAATTCAGCTAAGATAGCTTTATGTAGAAAACATATTACGATAACTAAAGATAAGTGTATTCTGAGAAATGAAAGTGGAGGCTAGTAAGACACAACTTGATGTGGATCACTATGTGGCCAGGAAAAAACTGTCGCTGTCTCTTTCCATACCATTTTATTACCTTCATGATTTCCTTAATCATGAAAAAAATTGTGAAATAATGAACGAATAGCAAATATTTTCGACAAGTTCAGTTCATTGCAGCTTTTTGGGAAAGAGGGAGTAGTGGAAATGTAAAAACTGATATGTTGAATCTTAGGCAGAAAAGACCATCTTAAAGCTATTGAGAAGTTTGAATAACCTTGAAGGAGGCATTGGTAAAAAGGACTGGCAAGTGTCAGTATATTCTATATCCAGCATAATATATCTGCAATGCTGCTTTTCGGTTTGACTCCGTCGAATATGTTATTAATGAAACTACTAAGTGTCATTATAATTTGTGTGTATCCCATATCCAGCAAAATATATCTGCAATGCTGCCTTTTGGTTTGACTCTGTTGAATATGTTATTAATAAAACAAGAAGAAATTGTTTCTTCACATAAGGATTAACTCTACCCACAGTTTTCATTTGTGTGCTAACTATTTGCTACAATTTAATCATCTTTTCTGTAGTAAAACTGTGAAAGATGTGACACAACTTTTTTTTTTCATTTCTTCAAATACCAAAAGAGGTTAATGGTATTTATCTTCCATATGTCGGGTGTTTTTTTGTTTTTTCTTGGCGAAGTCAGGCATTGTTAACTTTACATATACTAGCCTAAAACTGTTCTGATACTTGGTAATCAGGTACAGTGCTAAAGGAGAGAGTAGTTTGTAGAAATCTTGAAGGTTTTTATAGGCTATATTCTTGGCTTTCTTCTCTGAAGAAATACGTTGCTTTGTTTACCATCTTTATTTTTTTACATCTCCTAGTTGATAGTGGGCATATGATCCACATAGCCAACCACTCTTAATGGGATAGCGCCTGAAGGCTTAGTGTTATTTTCATTGCGACTATCATTGCTGTCTTAGTTGTTGTCCAAGTTAGTGATGCTTATTATGCTTTTATCTGCAATCCAAAATGTTTCCACAGGTGGATGAGTTGCAAACCACATTAGAGGAAGAGCAGCGGAGTTTGGTTGAGGAGATGAGGATGGTAATTGATGAACCTAAAAATAGCGGAGAGGATGCTAACGATGTTCCTGAAGCCATGCTTATCGAGTGAAGATTCACGTTTCCCAGCAAGCTAAAGAGCTATAATCGTTAGTTCACTGATCTTCACGACTTGGTGACATCTTCTGTTGTGGTCTCTTGGTAGATTGCTGTATGACCTGTACTAGATATATAGATCTTCTAGAGTAGTTTCTTGTAATGCAATAGACAAGTGTCATGCTGATTTCGGATGAATGTTGGTTACCGCTGGTAGTCCAATTCCATGAACGCTAACAATCAACAGCCTAGCATAGTAAGCAGCAGTCATTGAGATTCATGGAAATGAAAAATTGTACGGCATTTGATTTCTTTCTTGAACGTACTGTACGCATATAGCTTGGATTTAATACTGATGCATTGTCTGATACTTAGAAAAAACTCATCCAGTACATAACTGGAAAGAACTGAGTTGCAAGATGTGGCATTTACGGTCAGGTAGAGAAAAAATAAAAAATAAAAATCTAGCATTGATGCTCATTGTTGATCGAGCTGTTGGAAATTGCAAATTTGAAGACATATCCTGTAATTGGATAGCGCGAAGTGCCTCGTTTATCCTTTGTATCCTCCATTCCTATTTATATGAAGTTTGAGACATGATTTCTTTTAATCCCTTTTTATAAAATGTTTTACCTTTTCAAGAGAAAATTAAATAAGATTTTTCCGTTGTTTACTCTCCCAATTAACTAATCCATAATTTGTTTCAACCAATATTATTAATGCAATAGGGTTCACTTAATAAATTCATAACATATTCAAGACAAATATTTAAAATTAATTTGTTTTATTGGCATGTGTATAGTTAAGTGATTGGTTTTTATGAATAAGAAATGGAGATGGAGGTGGTTATGTTTTAAACTTTTAATCCTTTCAATAAATATATTTTTGTTCTTCCAATATTACTTTTTTTTTCTTCATATTTTACCTACTGAAAATTGGAGGGGGAAATTCGATTGTAGTATATTAAAAAAAATAAAAAATCCACTAATAACTTCAATTTCCCGAGGAATCTCAACAATAAAAATTCTAATTCCTATAAATACAAAAAAAAAAAAGAAAAAAAAAAGGAAAGTTTCCAAATTCCACCAACAGTTAAACGTCGCCGTATATTCTAGAACCGCACAAACCCAATCCTCTCCTATAGTCGTCGTCAGCCTTCTTTTCTTGTACGATATATAAACATCACCGTAATTTCCACCATTTTTCCACCCAAACAAACTCTCTTTCACGACTTTAACAGTGATTCTTCCTCGTGGGCAACGTCTTCCGGATCTTTCTCACTTTTTCTGCCCACTGAAATTCCTGGTAATCATGGTGAAATGGGTCCTTGTTGATTATTATAGTGGTTTCTTTCTCCACTTCCTTTTTGTGTTTTTCCCTGGTAGCTGAATGATCAAAATTTACCCAAAAATTTAAAGACAAAAAGTGATTGCCAATGTTTTTGTTCAGTCCTGAGTCTGCACAGTAAGTATCATGGTGGGTTGGTGGTGGATAGCACGTTTTTAAATTTAGTGTGTGATAAAGACTAGGTAGATGAGCAAACCTTTGATTATTATTATTACTGTTATTTTTTAAAGAAATTTTGGTGTTGTTGAAATTGATGACCTCCATGTGGAGTTCTTGATTATTTGCTGGATATTTTGGTTAAGTTGATTAGACTTTTTAATTGCTCTATCTTCTGTATTTTTTTCCTGGGCCGTTTAGGTTTCACTATGTATAATGTATCTGAAATGATCTAAGTGTTAGATTCACTGTATCCTACTTTCCATGTGGGAATTTTGATCTTTCTTAATTTTAATTGGAAGTTCTGAATTTCCATGTGGGTCCTATGTCTTCAACAAACGGATGGAAATGTTAAACTTTCCGCAGTCAACTTTCTGTTAATTTGTTATGTGCAAGTATAAGGGTGAGGTTATCCCTGAAAATTCTGTTAGTTCCCTGATAATCTTCTGCTGCGTGGTTATTGTAACTGGATGTGTATGTTTTTTCCTCTCTTTAATTGTGAATTTTTTGTGATAATTTGATTTGCTTCTTGAGGTAGTGAATGGTGCACGGTGCCTTGTGATACTATGCATTTGAATGATTTCGTAAATCTAAAATACGGACACGGAAACGATTATTTGGACTGTTTGTGGGCATGGTGAAGAGAAATGGGAGTAGTCGTGAAACCCTTCCTATCGTCTTTTCGTTGGTGATCTGTTGTGGTTAAAGTTATTATCATGCAACTCATGGCCTAGTTAAGTTGACGAAAATGTCTGTTTTGTAGGGCTGAAGGAATTTGTAACTGATATTTCTCATTAGACTTTTGGGTTTCAAAATGAAATTTCCTTTTGTATCTAATGATTGGTCTTTGTCAAGTTGACAACTTGCTAAATGCTATGTTTATGAACATGGTGATTGCTCTGAGCTAGACTGTTATATGTATATTACATCTTGACTTCGGCATGAAATTGTTGATTTTTTTGCTGCGTTCTATTGCTCTTGGTGCAGAGTGTATCTTCTTCTGTCTAGACCTTTGTTTTGTTGGTTGACTAACCTTTCATTGGGTGCTCATAATCTCTAATCTTCAATAGGAGAGCTCTCCATCGTTATTAACTGATTTTTGACATTTGCAGAGAGATATGTTTAGGAACAGAAATACACATTGGTGCCACCAGTGCCGTCGGCCGATCCGTCTCCGGAACCGTGTTATTTTGTGTCCATATTGCAATGGAGGTTTTGTGCAAGAGCTTGGTGAAGACAATCTGCTGGAAGCAGAAATAAGTCAGGTCTTCGCAGATGAACAAGATGGTTTTGTAGGAGGTCACAGGGACAGTCATTCTGGTGTTGGATTCATGGAACCTTTTCCTGGTCCAGGAGTTGGAATTATTGATGCATTTGAAGCTTTTATGGGGCAGAGAATGGCTGGAAGGATACCCAATTATGATATTAGATCAAGGTCAGGTATGATCCCTGAACATAGTTTGGCTTTTGGACCTGGACCATGGTTGATAGTACGGGGTCAAGGTCCTCGTCACTTTTCCAACAATGAAGCTTTTCATTTCCTCTTGAATGGTAGTCCAAGAATGGGACATCATCAAGGTAACTATGGTGATATTTTAATGGGACCTGGCGGACTCCAAGAATTGATAGAACAGCTCACAATGAATGACAGGCAGGGCCCAGCCCCTGCTCCTCGTTCTGCCATTGACGCAATGCCTACTATTAAGATCACCCAAAGGCATCTTAGTACCGACTCTCACTGCCCAGTGTGTAAAGACAAGTTTGAACTCGGCACTGATGCCAGGCAGATGCCTTGCAACCACATTTATCATTCTGATTGCATCGTTCCATGGTTGGTTCAGCACAACTCTTGCCCAGTTTGTCGTCTGGAGCTGCCGTCATTGGCTTCTGAAAATACTCGTGCGAGTCAAGGTGCAAGAACTGTTAACATAAGCACTGAGAGTAGCAGCAGAAATGGGGGACAGATCCATTCTAGGAGGAATCCTTTCTCATTCTTGTGGCCATTTCGATCATCAAACCAGAACAATGTAGACTGAACACGTCAATGGAATTGGACGAAGTAGTCACCTGCCCGGACAGACAAAACGATAGGCACAAATCACCTAGATGGATGAATAGTTAAGACAATATGATGTCTGATTTGTTCAGGTTTCTCACTTCTTGCAACTTTTGTAATGTCAATATATTGTAGCTGATGTTTGAATGAATTTGATTTTAGGCCTTACTGTGTAGACTTCGATGCCCGTTGTAGATGTATAGGAACTGCAAACTTTTCTTATGTAATCTTGTATTTTGTGTGATTATTATGCTTGTGTTGAATGCCAATGAAAAAAAAAGTTGTATCCCAGTCATTGCTTGGATAAAATTACAAATTTTGCTTAAATTCTTTTCTTGACCCTTTCTCGGGACTGCTAGTGCAACAAAGGAAAAGTTGAAGGACTAAAACTGCCAATATATACCACGTTATCTTATATTCTGACTAGTCATCGTAGCCTCACAATTAGAATAGTAATCATCAATTGAAAAAAAGAAAGAAAAAGAAAAGGCTTGTTTGAAGTAGTAACTGATAACTGAAAAACAAGCAGTTCGAACAACAAGAACAAAAGAACAGCGAGGCCAATGATGATGGCCTTCCAGCTAAAACCAAATTCCTTGCCATTAATGAGGGCCATAAATTCGACCCGTTTCATTTCCTCATTTCTTCCACATCATGAATTCTGGAAGCACCAGCCATTACCCAGAAAGATAATGCTTTCAAATAGCTTTGTTGGCCACACAGCAACTTCATTCAGGTGCTTCTCACAAAGAAAATCCAGTGAGCAAATAGTACAAGTCAAAGAGCAAGGAGAAGATGATGAGGATGATGAAGAAGAAGTATATGAATTTGAGAGGCTTTTCTCCAACCTAAACCAAGCCACTTTGAAAAGGGAGCCTGGTAAATGTTGTTTCCTTTATATGCATTTCCATTCTTTCCAGAATGTACCATGTTTGGTCATTACATGATGATCAGTTCATGTTGTTGCTAATTTATGTTCTTTTCCTTGTTGGTTTTTCGTGTAGGAAGTCTTAGCAGTTCTATCTTTCTTGTGGCTGGTACAACAGTAAGTAATTTCTTGTCAATTTTTTGGAGTATTCCCACTATGTTTGCATCATCAATATGTGGAGTAGTGAAATATTGTGCCTTCAAAAGTTAATCTGCAATGAAAATTTTTTTCTTCGACACATAATCTGCCCTGATTATGACCGATCACACAAAATTGGAAGGTGGCAATGGCATGTTATTTGTTTCTGACAAAGAAATAAACTTCGAACAAAGAAATTTTAACCTAACAGTAATGTTGATCTTACTCTTTTATGTTTTGTTCTCTTAGGACAACTTTAGACTAGCTGCACTTTTACCCCCACTTTGGAGAATTGCTCGAGGTTTATGTCACTGTTACCATGATAGTAGGACTGGAATACACTGTTTATGTCATCATGCTTTTTGATGAAGAGAAACCATTTCTACATTTGCTCTGCAATTGCATACGAATCACAAACATGGACAATGTTCTTGCTCATTACTTGTGCTATCAATTTCACTCTTCTCAAGTGCTTTTTGGTTTTCCAAAGAATACGGAAATATTTGTCAATGAGATGAAACCCCTGAAATTTCACATCTTACTCTTGTGACTCCCTGCTTACAAATAGTTTAAATCAAGAAATACTGCATATCAACATAAACTCTATTTTTAAGTTAAGACAAAAGAAACCAAATCCAGAAACTAATGCACAATATCGTACGTGGCATTATCATTGATTTCTAAAATCTTTTTTGGATGGTATTCTGTCGCTGTGTCTTCTGCCTGAATTTGTTCTTTACTTGTAGTCACGATGAAGTATGGAATACACTAGCTTTATTCTGTTTTGAACTTTTCTTTTAATGTTATAATAATTCCATTGTGGACAAGAAGTAAATAGGTTACTTTACTCAATCAAACAGGTTGGAGCTGGGATACTCGCAATTCCTGCAGTTACTCAAGAATCTGGTTTTCTTGCCTCTGCTGTCACCTGCATATTCTGCTGGATGTTTATGGTAGTTGGTCTGTCTCCTTTTTCTTTTTTTTCTTTTTTTTTCTCTCTAAATTTGCTTCTAGTTATCTGATTTTGAAAACTTTTGGAGAACTCATATTTACAAAATGTTGCATTAGGGCCGGACTTATTTTAAAACTTCTCCATTTCCATTACGGGAATACCCCAATGGCTCATTCTTCCTGCTCTCATTACATCTGATTTTGAATATCTGATCGAAAGTCATTAAGCTTTTTAACATGTCAACTATAGGTTGTTACTGGACTACTGATTGCTGAAGTAAATGTGAAGACCATGTGCGAATTGGGTTCTGGTGGAGTGTCACTGGTAATTCTGATCAGCTTCTTCAGTTTAAGCATGTTATTTTTCCACAAGTTTCATTAGCGAACGATATCTTCCTTTTGAAAAGTAGCATTACATATAGATTTGACAGTAATACCTTAGCCCTCATAGTTCTCCGCCGCTAGTAACTACGAGTTCAGAAGTTATACAAGACAATAAAAATGGTTCTGATTAGCTGCAGTGACTTGTCTCATCTTTTGTTATTCTTGGGAGGAAGACATCTATGCAATCACAAAAAGTGAATTATTTATTTATTTATTTATTTTCCTTTTCTTGTCAAGGAACTAGGACTCAACGGCTTTCTTTTTTTTTTTTTTTTCCTTTTTTTCATACTCATAAATAAAATTGGATGTCAATACAACACATACAAGAAGCTAGTAATATCATTCATTTCTTTGACTAATTTTCTTCCCGAATTTTTAGGTTTCAATGGCAATGAGAACTCTAGGGACTACAGGTGTGCAAATCGCATGGTAGGTAATGTCACCTTATTCAATCAAGCTGAGTGGAACACTTTCATTACTGTCAATACAACCCTAGTTGAGCATTACTGTTGTTCAACAGTTGTGTAAAGTATGATTTTTCCTTTTCCATATTGTCGTAAGTAGTTTTGACACCAATTACTCGATCAATACTTTACTATTTTGTTTGGTCTCAGTAGTAATATCATCATGAGACATAGGCTATTAGGGTTAAGGGAGAACAAGCCACCAGCTTGTTTGGTCTTGATATTAGTAATTCCAGCGACAAATTACTTCCACCATAGGCTATTAGGGTTAAGGGAGAACAAGCCACCAGCTTTCCTGAATGCTGGGACATTACATTGTGCTTTAAAAGAAACAAACTTTTCTTTGTTGGATTTGGAGCTGCTTAAAATTTAGAGCTCCTTTCCAGTTTCCTTCATGCCTTGCCTCATTTCAGCCCAGGAAACCCCACCAGAGATGGGTAAACCTCGTATACTTAAATCACGTGATTTGTTCTCCCCACATTTCGATATCCTGAAAATCATGGGATGCTGGAGTATTTCAACATATGGTAGCATTGGCACGTTCCCATTATGGATGAACAAATGACCTGTCTAATGCTGTTTGCCGAGGCATGAGGGTGTGAGAGAACTATCATCTCCTGGATCTTACCTTCACTCTTATTACAGCCTGGCTCTGAAAAGAAATGACAAAATTAAATATGGTGATTTTATCCTGGTTATGAGGTTTTTTCTTTAATTGTATTTGCACATCAAATTTCTCAATGGAGCTCGATTAAAACTTTTTCCGACTGCATCTGTATTCTTGCTTCGTGTTTTCTGCTTGCTAGATGTTTGATTCTCTTGCTGCAAATGATGCCTGCTAAAAAGAACAATGTTTTAGATTGAAAGGTGTTCATACTTCTGCTGTACTGGTATTCCCTTGCATATTACAATTAAAAGCTGCATTTGGTACCTCATTTTTCTTTTCTCAAATAGTCTTTTTTCATGACAGCTGGTCATACATATTCATTCACTATGCGCTTCTGGTTGCATATGTGGCTCGTTCATCAGATATCTTGACAAACTTCCTTCACATCCCTACGTAAGTTATCTTTCTTGTTTATGTTGCACATTTCAATAATTGCTTCTAATGCTTCTCAAGTTGGTTAGTCATTGAATAGCCATGTATTCTGATGTTTGTCAATGAAGCTAAAGAACAGAAAAATTTCCTCTAGGGCAACAAATCCCAGTATGATGTAGAGGACAATTACCTTTATTCCAAGTAAGCATTGGCTTGTATGTGTATCTTCTCGTCCTTTTAGAGTAGCCAGGCTAGAAAAAGCTTGTTTTGAAATTGATAATTTTCATATCTGCAAAAGAAGCATTTGAAATTAAACTCCTTTGTCTTCCTTCATGAAGAAAGGACGAGACTAAATGAGATGATATTATCGCCTGTCAGCGAGGAATTGCAGTTCCAAAGTTTGTTTTAAAATCCTTAGAAGCTTCTAATGGTTAAGATGTGGATTAGGCTACATGTTGTAGTTCAAATCAAATCAGTTGCCACCAGTCTTGCCAACCTTTTAGTTGGATGCTAGATTTGATTCTTTTGAATCTTGAAGTTGATCTGTAGTCTTAATTTCAGTCTTTTCCAAGCAGGTTGTGAAGTAATTTATTTTTTCCTTCTTTTGTTTATCTGTATTAAGAAGATTAAGTGCACGCATATTAACACTCACTCATACTGAAATTCTAGTCACTACTTGATAAATGATGCTTCAGTAATAACTATGAGTGAAACTAGAACCTTGATGCTGTTCTGTTTGATAGCCAATGTAACATGTACATAAAGGACATGAACGCTTATTATCAACTCAACTGAAGGTTACAACTTATTTTTTCCACTCCAGAGTGTAAATTGACATGGAAATGTATACTCACTGAGTTCAGTGATAATTTATTGAATGAAGCTTCAGTATGCTAGTTAGATGTTGATAGGTCATAATTTGATTGTAGATGGGAAGCTGCGACTATGTTTTCAGTCATTTTGGGAGGAATTTGCTACATTGGAAGGTACTTACTGGTAATCCGCTTTTTCTTATGTGACATAATATTGTCTTTCTTCATTGACTCTTCCCTAGCTTTGTAGCCAGAGGTTGATTGGAGCAGTTAATGGCGTTCTTGTGTTCGGCATCATTGCTACTTTCACATCTCTCGTGGTAAATCATCCGTCTAGTTTGGCTGATTGTGCATTCTTCATTTGATGGTCTTGCATGTATAGGAAACGATTTCATCATGAAAGAAAAAAAGAAATTAGCTTCACACACTATCAGCAGCAATCCCATCTTATGTTTTTCCCCGTATATTATGTTATAAATACGTAATATAGGTTCATTACACAATTGTTTATTCTTCATATTTGGTAATCAACATAGCGTTTCACAGTTTACTCCATGATATGAGTGATGCACGGTTCACAGCCGAAAACAGTGGCAAAATTCTTGGTTAATGAAGACATTGTAAAACAATCTCTTGGAAGTTTCACCATGATGCTCTCATCCCAACATGATGGAGTATTAGGTTACAAGCAGTCCTATTACTGCCTTGTTTGAGAAAAGAATTCATCACTGGTTAAGAAATGCAATTGCCTGATTAGTTAAATAACATAATGGGATGTTTATGTTAGGAGAGGCAACGAGTTAAGAATGGTGATTTCCTGATTAATGAAATAACATGATGATCAGCAGTCCTGTTACTGCCATATCTGAAGAAAACACATGCATCATGGGTTACAGTGGATAGACAGTAAACCAGCTGCTACTTCTCCGCCCTTGAAAGATTTCATTGAGGCAGATTATGTTTTCAGGTAGTGGCCAGTGGGAACTTGCATTTGGAAGCTTTATTAAGAGCAAACTTTGAAGCAGCACCTCAAAGCATACCAATTATAGCTCTTTCGTTTGTTTACCAGGTTAATGAAAAACAAAATGAACTACCCTAATATTAGATCATTACAGGTGCCACTCTAGAAATTATGCCTGTAGATTGACCTGGTTCTTATTATTTGTTTCAGAATGTTGTGCCAGTCCTGTGTACAAATTTGGAAGGCAACCTTTCAAAAGTTAGGTAATTCTCTCATTCTTGGTCAATGCAAGGCACATTCTGAACTGGTGCAAATTCTGGTGTTTTCTTACCAGATGCTAGTGTTGTAGTTGCTTAAAATTTTAAAGTTGAAATTTCTCAGTAGATGGTGAGAAGCAAGAAAATTATTTGAACCTGACACAAATATGAAAGTTTTGGATCTTGTCTAGGATTTCTGGAAAGAGACTGGAGCAGGTGGAATACTACCAACGTACATTATTAGATTTATAATCCAATCTTGCATGTTGCACGTGCATATAGAAATATAGTAGGGAACAGGCCTGATATTACATTGATAAAATGAAGCAACCTAACTTCCCATTTGGATTTGGACAATTTTTCCATTTACAAGAACTTTTCCTTGGTATAAAAATATGAAAGACTTCTAATCAATGCTACGACATGAAGAAATTCAAAGTTATCTTGGCACAGAAAATTGAAGACTCAAAATATCCTAGAATCCAATGGAGAACATAAACTTTGAATCTTTTTTTAGATATAATTAGTTTAAACTTTGAATTATTGTCTTGTAGCATAGATTTTGGTTGTGTCAGGAACCATAATATCATTTTTGTCTATTCAACTTAATTAATTACACTGTGCTCACACCTGTGTCGGATCCGAGATCGCAAAGAGTGGATTTTGGGGTGCTGGGGTCTTCCTACAGATCATTATTATTAGTGCTAGGACATTTAACCCTTTATAATACATCTGTGTGTTGAATATGTATTGCATTTATGTCCAAAATGTCCCTTTCTTCTTGCTGTATTATTGTAGAACATCAGTAACCTTTTTGTTGGCACAACGGCAAGGCAACATTGATGGTATTAAGATTGATGGTAGAGCTAAAATTGGAATAGGTTACTAGTTTCAAGATAAAATACTGTAGATGTAGGTTTCAGGTTATTAGATTTCTGCATGATATTCCTACAATGTCACAAAGTATGGTTAAGTTGAAGATGGATAACAACATCGTAGATTGATATAACAGGCTTAATGCGTAACGGACTGAATATTCCAGCATATTACTATGATGTGGCCAGTCATTTCCTTGACCCCAAACTGCTCTAAAACTTTCAACAATTTTTTAAGGTGAAGCTGGTAACATGAAGTCGTTTTTTTTAGTGATGAAAAACTGTAAAATTTATCTTTCATTCATCTACACTGGATTTCTAAGCTGTTTGTGTGAATTATTAGAGCGGCTTTAATGACTTCTATCAAACTTGTAGGACAGCCATTGTGCTGGGAACGGCTATCCCCCTTGCTCTCTTTCTTGTATGGAATGCTGTTATTCTTGGAACAATCTCAACTGACTCAGGCACAATATTTGACCCCTTGCAACTGTTGAGGACCACAAATGGAATTGTTGGGGTAATTCAAAAGTATTATATTCATCCTGGAAAGTTTTGGTAATATGTCTGTCCAATATTACATTTTGACCGTTCGATATTGAACTTTGGCAGCCGATTGTTGACGTATTCTCACTTCTTGCAATTGCAACGTCTTACATTGGTTTTGTTTTGGGTCTTTCAGACTTCCTCGCAGACCGTGAGTCGTTTCTTTCTTCATTCTATTAGAAGTACTTATTTAGTCATTTATCTTCCCCCTGAATAAATTTACGTTGTTTGCTTGTGCATCATTTTCAGTGTTGAAACTCCCCTCAGGCCAGAACAGCCCTTTGCCTTATGTACTCACACTGTTTCCACCTTTGGTTTTATCTTTGTACGACCCTGAGATATTCTTCAAGGCATTGGATTTTGCTGGCACATATGGAGGTATGTCGACAATCCAGAGATGTTTATCGTTTTCCGTCTCCTGATTTTACCGCGTACATTTGATTATCTTAGCTCTGTCATGAATGTTGACTGTTGGCATGGTTTTCCAGTTTTGGTGTTGTTTGGAATCCTCCCCGCAACAATGTCTTGGTCAGATAGATACTCAAACTCGTCAGACTTTCCGAAACTCCCACAGCTAGTACCTGGGGGAAAGCTCACCCTTTCACTTGTAATTGGAGTTTCAGCATTTGTCATCGTATCAGAAGTAATTGAGAACCTTGGGCACTAATTATGAGAATCATGATGTATATTTCTCGCATTTTGGGTTATAACGGTATAACTCCTACCTCAGCCATTTAAAAGGATGCGTACATAAAAAAGAATTGGAAGTAAAATTTGTATATTCAAAGGGGAAATTTTGGAAACACATAATCTTTTCAGTAATTCATCCTAAAATTCATGCCCTCTGCAATGATGTTCCTTTTTACCGTTCCCTTGTATAAATCAAACTTTTCAAATAGCTTTTGCCATGAAGTACTTATCATCGTTATCATCCCCATGGAGCTGAAAATACTACGCCGGCTTCCGGGGAATCACTGATGCGATTCAACTCGGTGTGCTGACCTTGGCGATCAATAATACTGGACCCAGATTTAGCCCGATCACATCAACTCCATGGCGGTGCTTTTCAAGGGCTTATTGCCTATGGTATCGATTATCCACAGCAAAAATGTGTTTCTATTATATAACCACCAGTGATTCCAACCACCACATTTTCGATCACCGTTACATTCAACCCTTCGACAGAGACCATGGCGTGATTCAATGCACGAACCGGAAAACAGGCTAGTTAGTTGGTACAAAGGCTACCATTCCTACTTTGCACAATATTGACACCCGGGAAACATTGACGCTTCCTGATACCTCGTCACTGTCTAGAGGGTACGAGCATTCTGTCAGATACCCTTTGGCTCGTTGAAGGGCATTGAAGGGCAAAAGTTTCAGCCCGGATGAGGAAATCAGAGTTCGTCAAACTTCCACAACAGCGCCTTGTCTACAATCAAAAGCAAAATGTAGCAAGCTCTTTGGCTCGTTTCACCCGTAACCTGGTTCCAGAATCCTTCTAAGTAGAAATGGGGTTGATTGGAGAAGTGTTGAGGAGATGAACTCTATCAAAGCAATTGGAAGGGAGGGATAATTTCCAACCTAAGTCGAGCTAATTCAATCAGCCTTGAGCGCCTCATCTAGTCACAAAGGGGATAATGATTCCCAACTTTGTGTACAATTACTAGATAGAGCTAGGGTGGCTAATCTATGACATGAAGTGTTCCATTGTTTCTTAACGAATAAGAATTTACAATCATCAAAGCAGGACTTTAACAAAAAAATGCCGGTGACAATCGCCATTACCTCTGAAACAGGAGTAAGTCTTCCCTGCATCCAAGCGATAATATTCTTTTCATCTAAGTGCACTTCAACTTTTCTGATTCTGCGGTGCTTTGCTTCAAAAAGTGCCATCCTAATGCTTTCGAGTTCTGCTGACAGCGGGCTTTGTGAGAAGCTTGCACTTTCTGCCTTTGCAAGTATAAAACCACCAATATCATTTCTCAAAACAAAACCAAACCCAGCCCTCCCGGACCTTCCTTCTCTTTCTGAACTAGTATTGATTCTAACTACACCAGCACTGGGACATTTCCAACCTTGTGCAACAGCAGCAAAATCCATCACAGTTGCTATTTTTTGTTTTTTGAGTTGCATCTGCCGAAATTCCTGCCATTCATCCATAGCATTTCTCACAATATCCACCGGTGCAATTCTCTTCTCCCCATACAACCAAGCATTCCTTGATTTCCAAATATGCCAAAGAATATACACTCTGAGTTCCAGCCTAGTAACAAAGTTTTCAGTCATTGGAGCTTTGCAAACTTCATCCCACCAATCAGGAAACGACACAGTTAGGTGTTGGATCCCACTCCACTGCACTAAAGCCAGTCTCCAAATCAAGATCGACTCCCGACAATGAAAGAAAGTATGCTCAACAGTTTCAAGTTCCACCCCACACCTTTTGCACTGTTCATCCACTTTAATTCCCTTTTTTACATAGGGTAGAATTCACAGCTTTCCATCCTTTGTATACTCTCCACACAAAATGCTTAAGTTTAGATTTTACCTTTAGCGACCACGTATTCTTCCATGTTTTGCTATCTCGCTCCACAGATCTGCTAAATCCTTCAACGTTCACCAGCCCATGCTTCAGCTTATTAGCCAGATCATATGCTGAACTAACAGAGAATTCCCCTTTTTTGTCCTTGCTCCAAAACAACCTATCTGCTCCCCCAAAACGACTAAGAGGCAGACTTTTGATTCTGTGGATTTCATGGACTCCAAAGAGCTGCTGCAATTGCTGGGTATCCCAACTCATAGTGATTGGGTTAATGAGTTCGGCCACCCTTTTGAATTTTCGTCTGTTAGCTTCATTGTTCTTAGGACCTAACGCGCAGTTGTCGGGTAACCAATTGTCTGTCGAGATATTGACAGAGCAACCATTACCTATTTGCCATTTCAGTCCTTTCTGAACCACATATCTAGCACCTAGACAACTCTTCCAAAGCCAAGAGTCCCCTCCCCTGGGTTGTGCTTCCAGCAAGGAGCAATTAGGATAGTATCTACCTTTCATCACTTTAGCAAACAGAGTTTCTGGTTCCTTCATCAATCTCCAGATTTGTTTTGCTAACAGGGCCGTGTTGAACAGTTTCAAATCCTTAAATCCTACCCCCCCTTTCTCCTTCTCTTCTGTCACTTTACTCCATTTCCCCCAATGCAGCTTATTCTCCCCCAACCTCATCCCACCAGTAGTTTGCCATGTTTTGTTCAATCCTGTAACAAATCTCATCAGATATTTTATAGCATGACATAGCATATGTTTGAAGAGCTTGGACAACAGATTTTAGCAAAACTTCTTTTCCAGCCTGAGAAAGGAATCTGTTCTTCCAACTCTTAATCCTCTTAGCAGCTGCCTCCTCAATAAATCCGAAGACTTCGACCTTAGACCTACCAACAACCAAAGGTAGTCCCAGGTGTTTTGAATTAGTCTGAACAGTCACACCTTGAAGTTCTGCGCATATTTGTTCCCTTTTCTCACAGGAGTATTCTTACTGACAAATATTGAGGATTAATCCCAATTCACCTTTTGGCCCGAACCTTTTCCATAATCGGCAAGGATTTCCTTCAGACACCTTATTTGAGCAAGATCAGCTTTGCAAAACAACAGTGCATCATCAGCAAATAAAAGGTGAGTTATTCTAGGTCTGCTGCTACTGATACTCATGCCTTCTAGTCTACCCTTTTGTACTGCTTTTTGAATAAAATGAGAAAAAACTTCAGAGCAAATCAAGAAAAGGTATGGGGATAAAGGATCCCCTTGCCTAATTCCTCTAGATAGCTTAAGGTAGCCCTTAACTTCCCCATTTATATTGAAAGAAAAAGTAGCAGTTTTCATACACTGTGAAACCCAAGAGACGAACTGTAGGTCGAAACCCATTTTTATCATAATACAAACTATAAACCTCCATTCAACTCTATCATATGCCTTTGCCATGTCCAATTTAACAGCGACATATTGCTTACTACCACTCAGATTATTTAGATAATGGATGTACTCATGAGCTAGGGAAACATTATCCAAAATCTGTCTACCAGCAATAAAAGCATACTGGTTTTCGCTAATACAAAAAGGCAGCAGAGACTTTAATCTTTCAGCTAAAATTTTTGAAATGATTTTGTACAACACAGAGCAAAGACTAATTGGCCTATACTGTGAAATCTTTTGAGGTCTGGCTACTTTTGGAATAAAAGAAATGAGAGTATGGTTTAATGCTTTCAACATGTAACTTGAGTGAAAAAAACTCCTAACGGCAGTACACAAGTCTGATTTTATGATATCCCTGAAAAATTGGTAGAAAAGAGGCGTTATACCATCAATACCAGGGGCTTTGTTAGGGTTCATGCTAAAAACAATTCCCTTAACTTCCTCATCTTTAACAGGTCTGATTAGGTCTGAGTTCATCTGACTGGTAATAGTATCAGGTATCTCGTTCAGCATTTCCTCCCATCCACGAGCATCCTCTGACTTGAACAAGTCTGCATAGAACTCTGTAATCTCCTTTTCCACCTCTGTTTCGGTAAGACATTCCTTTCCATCCAGACTGATCAACTTCTCAATTCTGTTGCTACTCCTTCTCTGTAAGGTTGAAGCATGAAAGAATTTTGAGTTCTGGTCACCTTCTCGAAGCCACTGGACTCTGCTTTTTTGTTGCCAATATTTCTCCTCCTCTTCATGAGCTTCTGACAGTTCTTTCTTCATCCCTTTCCAACTGATGCAATCTCTATCGCAACCAAGCTGTTTCATTAAATCCAGCTCTTTTTCGATACGAGCAATCTCCTTCGCAGAATTTGTTGATTGTTGTTTACTCCATTTCAAAAGTTCCAACCTACAAGCCTTGATCTTATTGACCATTTTATGAATCGGGGAGCCAGCAAGATCGGAGTTCCATACGGCAGCCACTAGCTCTTTCACTCCTTCCTTCTCAGTCCATCTTCTATCAAAATAGAAACGACTCGGCTGCCTCCTTCGTTTTGGACAGAGTTCTAATAACAGAAGCGAGTGATCTGATGAAAGGCGCTCAACATGTTGCACTACAGCGTCCCAAACTCCAACAACCAACCAGCTGAGCCAAAAAAAGGGTCTAAATCTTTCTTCTATAAAACCCACCCCTTCTCTATTATTAGACCAAGTCCAATTTCTGCCAACAAATCTCACTTCCTCCATTTCCATTTCTTGGATAAAAGTCTCAAATCCAGCAAAACTACTTAAGCATCTTCTTCTCCCACTCCTCTTCTCCTCAGTCATTCGAATGTCATTAAAATCCCCACCCAAAAACCACTTAGTACTTAGTACCCCACTGTTGTCTCCTCCCCTGAAGAAACAACCACTGAGTTTTCCTAACATACTCATCAGTACTAAGATGGCAAAAGATCCCCCACTGCTTCCCTTTTGAAGACTTTGATTCAAATTCCACTTCTATGCATAAAGAAGTGGTAAGCAAATTAAAAATCTTCACGTCCACTCCCCATCCTAAAGCTAAAACCTCCACTAAAACCCACAGGATCCACTACCACCCACCTATCTTTAAACCCCAGCTTTTTCCCTACACTATTTACAAAACCCTTCTTTCTTCTGGTTTCACATAAAAAGACTAATTCTGGCTGAGAAAGCTTACAGGACTCTTTCAGTTGTGAGACTGTAGAAGGCCCACCGAGCCCCCCACAATTCCAGCTAACTGTACTCATTCGGAAACTTGGGGCCAACTGTGGCTGATAATTCAAATATCCTTGAGAACTCTAATAGTTATATCAACTACGGTTGATAACTCAAACTGCAATATCGCCAGCCAGATCATTAATACTGGAATCAAATTGTTTGCCAATTAATGAATTCAAATAACGACCTAAAAACTTAATTCAGAACTGGAGCAAAAATGAATTTCAGGTTGACATAAAACAAAACCTAGCCAAACCTGAATTGTCACATAAAACTCTTTTTGTATAGAACTGGAGCAAAATAACCCATAAGTTCAGGTTCTAAATTACAAACCATACAGCTTCATCAAGCAATCAAGTAAGAACACAATCCAACTTCACGGAATTAACTACTTCACAAAGCTGTCTTACCCAACCCTCATAAATATGATAAAAGCCGAAACAAACTAAATCTCATTAATTAATAACAGATGTCACCAGCTTTAGGTGAGATAGAGCCCTTTATTTACTGAAACATCCGTTTTTGAGAAGTTTCTTGATAAAGCACACTAGCACAGTCATTTAAAATCAAAATCCTTCTAAGCAGAAAAGGGTAAATCACAAAACAACTTCATCACAGCTTCGTGGAAGGAAAAACAAAAATTGATCATAACAAAGACATATTAAACAAAATCAAAGCTCCGTAGAAAAATTCATCCCGAAAGTCTAGAGATCTACAAGGCGGGAAAATGATCACATACCTGCAGTTGCATTGGGATGAAAGTTCGGCGGTCACAGCTCCGTGCAGGATTAACGCATTGTGGTCTCCATCCATGCCAACAGGCTCCACAGAATTCAGAAAATTGATGAACATAGCACTCAGTACCTGTTTGAGAGGCAAGCAATTGAAATAATGAAATCACAGAATCCTATTCCTATCCAATTGTGAATCCTAAGAAGAGAAGAAATGGCATGATGCGGGCGGAAGCATGAAAAGAAGGAACACCGCATTGATTCATGATCACCATGAACAAAGGCAATGGTTTTTAGACAAAAACCAATAAAAACCAGAACAGAGGCACTCAGCCGTGAAAGAGAACTCGCAGTTCTAAATCAATTTTCAAGATATCAAAAACTAACTCTCTGTAAAGATACAACAACCCTATTTATATTTAAACCCTAAACTTAAGGACAAGATTAAATAAACATGGTTACAACAATCATTAAAGAAAGAGGGGAAAATCATTATCTGAATATGGAAAAGGTCAAGGAGGCTAAGAATAATAACACCATATGTTCTTTAATGACTATGGGAACAATCATCCCCATTCAGAAGGGTGGCAAAGAACATAATATCAAATAGCACTAACCGTAATCCAAAAAAACAAAGCACTGGCACCATATGCATGTATAGAAAGTTTTAGTGCCACAAACAGTCCAAACTGGTGACTTGGCTTTTGAGGCCAATGCAAAATCATCAACAAAAACACAGGAAAGGTGTCTCTCAGTTTCAGAAATTGCAATGGTGGCCAACCATATAAAAGGAAAAATCAATCCGGTTCAGCTTCAATACCACAGAATCTAATTCGTAGTCAAACTAAAAAAATCATTATTTTTATCTTCCTGAGGGATTTAACAAGTGATTTTACAAAATCCAGCTCAAACAATTATCCGTAAACTCGAATCCCACTGAATGCCCTATGTTATGAGTTAAATTGACACCGCAGTCCATGCCGTTTATTCGGGTTTTTCTTATTCACCGTTCCAAGCTTCTGAATTTTATGATTCAAGACATAATGAATGTAAGGAACACGCAAATATCGGCACATCTAAGGCACGGCCAGAGCATGCAGACAACAACAACAACAACAACAACAAAATAAATTAAAAAAAATTCAAATTAACGACAAGAAAAAGGAAACGGAGAATTAAATTCAAAATCAAGCAAGCGAAAATCAAAGCTATCAAATTACCCGTTTCAATTCATTTTTCCGAAAATCTATCCGATACGCATCCATAGGGCATACGGCATAGGGTTCATAAAATTGCTTCCTTCCGGTCGTCAGATTCGACGAAGTTTGGCCAATCGTTTACCGACTGTTTTCCAAATCAGTAATCGGGAAACATGGAGGAAGATCCGCCGAGGATTAAGCGTCTTCGACGTTTAGCAAAGTGGGTCAGAGAAATTACAACGGGAAAGAAAGAACCGATGAAAAATTGATTTTGGGTTTGTTCATTTCTTTTCTATCGAACAAAACGATGACGTTTTGATCTCCTAAAATTGGAATTTTTCTGCAAAATGTCCTCGTGAATCTATATAAACCTCTTTTAATGAGTTCACTTTTCCTCGTGCTCAAAGAGCCCTAATTTTCCACTCTGCATCCTCCATCTCCGGTCTCCGAAACGGCGGCGGATTTTCCGGAGGGCTGGAAATTCCTCTCTTGCTTTTTCCGTTGCCTCTCTGATTGAAGATACTCACAATGACCGGTAACTTATTTCCTTTCTACTCTTCTTCTAATAAATGTAGGATTTTCGCCATTCTTTGGTTGATAGATTGATAGTCTAAACGAGTTCTTGTTGAAAATTCTACACGCTACTTGAAATTTTACTTTTGAATTTGTTCCTCTTTTCCGTGTTCCATTCGTGTATATTTTGCTTAAGATTGAAGGTATAGTAAGCAGAATTCTGCAGTTATGGCTTTATTCGTCGATGGAATTCTTGCGTTTAGAGATTGTGAGAATACCTTGTTCGGCTTTGCTCGCTTAATTGGTTTTTTTTTTTTTTCCTTTCTTGAACATTCTCTTCTTCTAGAGGAAGTTTATACTTCTCCGTTTGTGCTTTAGCTTGTATGAAAACCGTAGTTCCTTCTACTTAAGGCCTATGGGGAGAATGAATACAGTTACTCTAGGAACATTTACGTGTAGTGGAATAGTACAGAATGTCTCCAATTTTGCTTTTTCCGTGGTTCCACATTGTGAATCGTATGAAATTGTGCTGCAGTTTGATGGGGCAAATTAGTTAGTTTATTGCCAAAACATGTAGGAGCAGATGGTGCTGCAGTTTGATGGGGCAAATTAGTTAGTTATTACAAAAACATATAGGAGCAGATGGGGTTCTTGCTCTGAACTGTTTGCATAGAGTAATATCTTGTGATCGAATTATGTTCACTATTAAATTTAGCTTCTAAGATGGGATGATGAATCCAATGATGTGTTCATTTCTTTTATATTTTGATGCTCTCTCAATTCCTTTATTTGTGTTAGTGCGATTCTTGATCCAAGTGTTCTTTCTAAACTTTTAGGTGACATCCCTTCTGTGAATTTCTTCTGAGGCGGGTAGATTGCAAGAATAAATTTTTTGCATGCTTTTATGAATTTATTATGTTCTGGTTTCTTCACTAGATTGGGTTTACTTCACTTTTTAGGGTTGGTAGTATTGCAGGAAATATGTCAATTTACCATGAATAGGAACTACTGGTCTTTTTCATATCCTTGAATTTTGTGGAAACTTTGATTTCTAATGCCTTCTCTTTTTCCTAGTTTGATGAGTATGACTCTCTTTTGCTTAGTTCAACAATGATCCCTCCTGAATTATGCTTTGTGTTCTGGGAAAGTGGTCCCTTTTCTGATTCCATGGATTCCCAGTTCTTGGAATCAGGAATATTTAAGCTTTAAATTGTTTCATCTTCTAAATTTATGATGTTCTAAATGGTTGATCAAAATGAATATCACAGAAGTCAGTGACGAAGCATCTCTGGTTGCCAAAAGGAAGTCTGATCTTGTATGTGAAGACAAAGATGATACACAAGAAAAGACAGATGATTCAATTAAGAAGCAAAAGCTTGACTTTTCCTCTGTTGACAACACTAACCCCTTGATTTCTGAGGCTGACGAAAATAAAGATGTGAATGGAACAGAAAGTAAGAAGGCTATGGGTGAGAGGAACAAAATTTTGGAAGAGGATGAGGATGGCAAAGCTGAAGAGGCTCAAGGAGGAGATGAAGACAACGAGGATGAGGATGAGGATGAAGACGAATATGAATTTGATGACAGTGATGAAAGTGACGACGACGACGACGATGACGATGATGATCATTCAAATGGTAATGCTGAAACAGTTGATCGAAAGGGAAAGGGAATCATGATTGATGACAAGGGTAAAGGAAAAATGATTGAGGAATCAGATGAGGATTCAATCAAGGGTGGAATTGAGTCTGATGACGATGATGGTGATCTCTCAGATGATCCGCTTGCTGAGGTTGATTTGGATAATATACTTCCAACAAGGACACGAAGTCGAGGGCGTGCAGTTCACCATGGAGTTCATATATCAGATAAGTAATATTAGAGTATAGCCAAAAGGGTCTAAAATAGCTGTATAACATTGATTGATGAGGTTGTCCGAATGGTAGGGATTTATTGGAAACTTGTGTTTAATGCTAATGGAAAAGTGATTCTAGTTTTTGTTTAAAGAGGAAGTCGAAGCAGTACTGATGTGAATGCTATTGTATCAAATCTCAGTAGTAATTGCGGGTTTTTGGTCTCTTCCCCAACCAAATTTGGGACTGACCGTTCATTTGTTTTTTTTTTTTTCTTATATAATGAGGAAGCCATTGGCTTAATTACAAAAGTCCCTTAAGTTTGCAAGGACATAGATAACCTATCAGCAGCTAAACTAGTATTTACCACCTTAGAGGATCATTTGGTTGTGTTTAGAGAGGTTGTTTTAAAATCTCACATTGTTGGGCCTAAGGCAAAAAGGTAAATAAACTGATTTAATCCCAACAACTCAACTCATTCTAAACTTTTGAACCAAAAGGAAAGTGGGGTGATTAGAAAGTCCATGGACGTTTGGGTCAATTGCTTCAAACCCCAATGTTTACTTGAATCGACATTTCAAAAAGTGAGCAAAGCCTACTTATACTTAGTGGCATCTACTTTTTATCATTTTGCTAAATTTTAATACTTTATTCATTTTATCCGTTTTTAAAATACCTTTTTAACATTTAAACTAACTTAGAGGCATCTACTTTTTATCATTTTTCTAAATTTTAATACTTTAATCATTTTATCCGTTTTTAAAATACCTTTTTAACATTTAAACTACTTTTTTACAAAGCTTCAATCTAAAATTTTAAATATTTCAATCAATTAAACGATAATAGATCTCGATAAACAATTAAACATCGAATTTAAATAATAATTTAATATCAACATATAAAATAAGCAAAGTTTTATGATTTTAATTTAATTTAATTTTTTTTTTAGGAAAAAATAATTATTCTTGTCTTACTAAGACACAAAGTAGCAGTAACACGCCAAGTAGCAATTCTTTTACCATTACATTTCATTTGCCCATGACATCATGCGTTGAGCTCTAGGCTGGATATGGTATTTCATAGATGTGGATTTTACGGACATTACAAAAACACCAAAGTGATAGAAGATCGATTTGCATCATTAACCTGTGCTTCATAGTTTAGTGGAGTAAATCCCTCCCCTTTAACACGAATGAGTAATCCACGAGTTGTTGAACTGTTTGTGCGTGATTTGAGCGTAATGCTACATCAAGAGGGCTAAATCCAACAGGATCGGGCTTCCTACCAAATGAAGGTTCAGGATTAGGATTTCGATGGCGAAATGAGTTGAGCCAAAATCCGAATGATGATGTTGTAGGGTTGTTAATGAATGGGATTTTTTCGATTTCTTCAAGGAGAACTGGATTTTATTTCAGCAAATCGTATAATGCATCGATGTTCCTGACTGAGCAGCTTCAGCAACTGAGCTCTACTCCATCAGGTATTGTTTGATGGATTTGCAACTAATCGTTGAAGAAAAAGTATGTATAAATGCATATTTTGTTGTTGTTGTTGTTTTTTAATTTCTTTTTGGTAAACATATGTTGTTTTCATTTTTAGAGTAAACGACATGATGAAAGAGTAAACGACATGTTAACCAAAAAAAAAAGAGTAAACGACATGATCAACGACTTTGACCGGACTAGTTTTTTAATACTCCGTCCTAGAAAATACTTCTCAAAATTATTGTGTAATTTGGATTTTCACTTTTTGTTCAATTTTTATTAAAAGTAAAAATCCAAACTGGACAATAATTTTGGAACGGATACAGTAATTTAATTTGTTATACTGTTTTGGTTTAACAAATGAATTATTTTTCTTTTTTTTTGTTGTTGTTTTACATACGAAGGAAGCATAAGTCTTGGTTACAAAACATCCTTAGGATGCGGATGATAAGGCTATATCTACAGCTAAATGATCCACGGTGGGGGCTAGACAAAATCTGTAATCCTACTGAATTAGTGAATTCTAGTTTTGCGAATGAATCAGCCGCCTCATTTAACGTTCTATTAATGAGAATAAAATTCACCGACCAATTTCTATCTAACATTATCAAAATACGGCTAAGGACGTTGCTTGAGGGGATAAACTTATCAGAGAATCACAGTGAGTTTATAGCCTCTGTTGAGTCCATTTCCAAGATTACTTTCCTAAACCCGAGGTTCCAAGAAATCTGGAGGCCGATGTAGGCAGCCCATAATTCTGCCTCGAGTGAGTTACGGTACCCAAGGTTTGCTGCGAATCCTGTAATCCAGAAACCTTCATGATTCCTGATCAGGCCTCCCGTGGTTGCCTTTTTTGTGGTTGTGCTTTCTGCTCCATCCGTGTTTAGTTTAACCCATTCCCACGGTGGAGGTGACCACTTCCGGCGAACTGATGATGGTGTTACTAGACACGCACTCGTATATTGAGCAAAACTCAAGTTTGATCTGGCTATTTCTGAGATTAGTGAGTGAGTTGAGCCTTTAAATTCTGCCAGCGATACGATTGATGTGCCAAAGTTTCCATCATACCGCACCAAACCAAAGCTTCCACTCATAATTCACCTACAAAATAGATGACTTTAGGTTAGTTAAAACCCAATCAGGCTACTGATTATTTTCCAAGAAGTTTCTATCCAGATTAGGGCATCAACTTTTTTACAGTTCCCTGGCTCTAATACAGTCCCGAAAGATGTGGAACATTGTTTCTAATTTTCTACAAAACAAGCAGCTGCCATCGTTGGTCAGATGGCGGCGTAATCTTTCCCTATTTGTCAATAGAACCTCCTTATACATCAACCATAAGAAGGTTCTAATCCTTTCTGGTTCCAGACTAGCTTCCATTTTGGATCCTCCTGCTGCCAAGTGTTTCCTGCAATAAGAACAAGAGAGGAGGAGGTGCTAAATTTGCCGTTTTTCGTCCACTTCCAGGTTGGCTTGTCGTTTCCAAGGGCAGCAAGTTGGGGGAATGGCCTGATGATGTCTCTTCACGGGATTGTTTGGCCGTCTGAATTTCTTTTGGGCATAGCTCCATTCGCCTAGTTGGGGAGATTTTTGGTGTTGCATTGGAATCCGTGTTGCCTTCTCCCAACATGAATTCGCTGTTGGCTGTGCTGTGCTAATGTCTTGTTCGTTTTGCAGGTGGGTCGATGGGTCGTTGCTTGGTGTTCCCATTTCCTGTTGTGGAGGAGGCGGCGGCGGAGCCGTTGGGCATTCTTTGACCTCGTGACCATATTTTTCACAATGGAAACAAATAAGTCTCAAATCCTCGTATTCTATTGTGTAGGCTTTGCGGTCGATTATGAGTTTTCCTTTGAGGGGTTTAGCAAGATTTAGTTCCACTGCTACTCTTGCATAGCAGCCTCTTTCTGCTGTTATGGTGTGTCTATCTCCTTTGATAAATCTTTCAATGGGCCTTGTTATATCTCTTAGTACTGCCTCATGGAAATACTTGAGCAGAAGTCCCGGGATACGGATCCAAGTGGGGACTGCCGTAAGATTTTCACTTGTTGTGTCGAATTCGTCTGTCCAAGGGAGGACGTTGATATAATGCTCTTTGATTGACCCGGGTCCATTTAGGAGGATATGGTTGTAATCCTCTTCACTAGATAGGCGAATCATATGATAACCTTCAATTACATCGGATGGGTAGATCTCTCTCTTCGTCTGCCACATTGCCCTTAGGCGTTTGTATAATAAGTAATAGGGGAATTCTTCGCCCAATAGCTTCACTGCTACTGAATAGGTCATGGCTCTATTCATCCTTTGTTGAACTGGGCTAGCAAATTCAATTGATGAAATGTTGTCTATCTCACCATAGGTTACCTCTCCTTCTTTTGATGTCACTTCCTCCATGTGGAAGCCCTTGCTTTTGTGGGCTTGCTGTCCTTGAAGAAGGGTGTCTCTGAAGGTGGATTGTACCCAGGCAGAAGGACTTGGGTCTGTTGGTGGAGGGGAGGGGATTTGCCAAAGTTTGGTTGATCCGATTGAGGCATTTCAGCTGTGGGTGGATGCGTAGGTGGATTATCTTTGTCATAGTTCAATGGAGGAGAATCCTCCATCTTCGAATCCATTTGGATCCAGAAAGGGACTGTTTGTTACAGTTAGTTGCAAGAGAAAAATCTTAGAGAGAGGACTTAGAGAGAGTGGACAAAAAAAAATACTCGGTAATGAATTATTTTTCTGAGGGGTTGAAAGTACATAATAAATACAACAAATGAAACGCTAATGAGCCCAAACAAAAAAGTTATAATGAGCCCAAATCTTTGAACTTTCATTAATTTCTACCGAAGCAGTATTGAGAATACATGTACATATTTAAATGGCAGATGGATTTTTTAAAAAAAAGGTACAAGTATATTAATTAAGAGATACATGCGCTATTACAACGCATACGGTCATAAGCTAGATTATGCAATTCTATTACTCCCTGACGGTTCACTTTAGTCAGTGTACAAAAGGTAAAAGAAGAAGTCAAAGTCTGTAAAATTAAAAGAACTTCTCGTGATTCTGATGGCATCTGATGAGATTCAAGGTCACGTGACAGGACCTCACAATCCGTAAATACCTGAAGTCGAGTAAGACCAAGATTTTCCGCCTCCTGCAAGGCCCACAAGCATGTTGTGGTCTCAGTTTGTAGCGATGAAAGGGCATTTATGCTGACCGTTTTAACTTGCACAGCCATCCATGAGGAGATAGGATTTTCCAAGCTCCAGCAGCTTTCCACATTTGATGACTGTAGGATCCATAAAAATTTACCAAAACTGTGTCGGTCAATCAATTTGATTGTCCCCACTTCTGTTGGTTGTTGGAATTATGTTTTCCGACTCTGGGTGGTGTTCATAAGGCGCACATCCGATTGGATTAACCTCCAAGAGATTGCAGGATCATGTGCCTGATTTCTCCATATTAGATCATTATAGTCCAGCCAGATACGTCACACAATTAGAAGCAGTAGATCAACATCTTGCTTAGATGGTTGGGTTCCGTACAATGCAATGAACCATTGAAAAAAAGAGTCATATGATGAATTGAAGACAGAACCGAATCTTGGAAAAGCTAAGGCCAATGGCAGATGGTTATTGTATTGAGTGTTCAACTTCGTTTCTGACGAGTCCATATCCACTGAGAGCCATTGGACCGGCCCATCCGCTTATTACGTTCCAACCGAGCTTACAGAGGCGGTTCTGGAACCTAAGACCTAATAGGATTCGGCCTCCTTCAAGGTAATTCCATGCCTATAAATAGGGTTGGTCATACCACAATACGGGTACGCTATCTCTAGCACAAACTACTACTCTCATACATTCTTAAAACCTTTTTCTGATTTAAGCATCGGAGTGTCTACGCTCGGGAGACCCCCGAGGACTTTTTTTTACAGGAAACCCTAGCCGAAGTTCCACTATTAAAACCAGCGGTGGAAAACCAAGCTTCGTCAAGCGGCACGCCTAGTGGGACCCAAAAACTAGGGTTTGTGTCGTGAAAAATTTTTCAGTTTTCTTAACCTTCTCCGGTGCGACTTAGGGTTTCGGAAATCACACACACCACGGCCAGGGTTGAAGAGGATGCGAGCAGCACGGCATCTTCTGGTAGATGACACAGTCCAGCTGATAACACTACCCTGGCAGAATTCCAACGACGACAGGAAAGAAAGAAAACAGGAAAGGGCCATGAAAGAGGACCCAAGAAAGAACCAGGGAAAGAAAGCCTGGTCCTCGGAACTTCGCAGCCTAATCCAAAGAAACCGGATATGCCAGCGACCAAGAAAAAGGATTCGCCCCCTCTTCTCAATACCACAGCATCCAGAAAATGCCTGGAGGATCAGTAGTTGGCAGAAATCAAGGCTGAAATCAAAAAGCTGCGGGATGACAGTGATCAAAATCAAAGGATGAAACAATATGTTCTCAAGGAAACAAGGCGTCGTTGTCTCCTGGGAAAGCCTGATCCAACTGAACAAGAGTTAGCTGACTTGATTGACGAGAAGGAAGCCCGACGCACTTTAGCTCTTCTCGGGAAGAAACAAGGCAAGCGAAAGGTCCAAGAGGAAGGGGACTATCAGGAATATTCAGATCGCGAAGGCTCCTTAGATAACCAGTCAACCACCACTCGAGACAGCGTTTTCTGGAACGGTTTTAGGAAGAAATATCCAGCCTTTGATATGGCCATTGAAGAGTTTGGCGCGGTGTACAGACGCAAGGATCCTTGAAACCACTACCAACAAGGATCCCCAAGCGTGGAGGTTATGGAAGAGGAAGACTGGAACCCTTCGAGAAGGACCAATGTTCACAACCGATTAGGCCCAACTGGTATCGAAAGAGTCCTCGAAGGTAGGAATACGTAACTTTCCATAGACAATGCTGAAACGATAGCGATACCGGAGAGGAGCATGGGTGAGGGCATCACCGTCATCTTCAGTATTCACCTCCCAGGCACCAACAACGTAACAGCCACGGAGAAATCCCACCTTATCTTCCTCGAGGTCAGCAGGGAGTAAGAGTACAGGACGCTTCGATCCGAGACGAGATGAGAAAGATCATTGGAATGGTCATAGACCGAAGTCTTTTTATACCAGACATTCGAGACGAGCCAAAGCCCCAAGACTTCAACTTCCCCAAGGACTTCACCAAATACTCGGGAGATACAGACGTCTCCCAGTGGCTACAGGGATATGTCCAGGTCATGAGGATCGGGAATGCATCGTTGAATTTTATGGCTAAAGCTCTACCCTCCTACCTAAGCGGGCAGGCACATCGATGGTTTGGAAAATTACCAAAGGGAAGTATAATCAATTTCGAGGACTTATCGATCAAATTGGCAACTCATTTCTTTCAGAGTAAGCAAATCTCTAGAATGTCCATTGACCTTTCCTTGATCAAGCAGGGTCAACATGAAAGTCTCTTAGACTTCCATCGGCGTTTCATCCATGAAACCTTACAAGTTGACAACATAGATGAACGGGATGTCCAGAATGGTTTTATTCAAGGGCTCAACCCATTTGAAAAATCCTCAATGCTAAGAGTAAAACTCTCGACTAAACCTCGTAGGAACTCCCAAGAGATGTGTGCTATTGTCGAGAACCATATTCAACGAGAACACACGCTCAAGAGATCACAAGAGTCTTTCATGGCAACAGGACCAATGGACAAACCAAGGACCAACATGGAAAGTAGGACAATGTTGCCTAAACTCGATAGGCAGTTGACGCCTTTGACTAAGCTATGTTGGGAGATCCTCCAGATTCAAAATGATGAGTTACCTACCCCAAAACCTCTAGCGCCCAACCCAAACAGGTCGACATAATAGTATTGTGAATATCACAAACACCACGGCCACGATACTGAGAATTGTCGAGAACTCAAGAGGGAAATCGAGAACAGAGTTAAGTATGGCAAGTTCCAACAATTTGTGCAAGGACCCTCTCAACAAAGAACCAGCAAGCCTGGTATATCCCAAAACTTTCCTAAACAAAATTTCAGGGGCCCTCCAGGGCAAAGCCGTGGGAATAACTAGCAACCGAGGAATAATATGCAACAACTTCCTCAACAAACTATCGAGGGAGCCTCACAACCACTTCAGCATATCCCTCCGGCGGATCCCACCAAACATATCACTCACCAAGTGGGTGCCATTTTTGGAGCTCCTCTCGAAGTTTTGTCTACCACAACCATTAAAAACTCAGTACAAACCGCAACAAAAACTCCCCGTCAAGAACCTCGTCACTAAAGGTTCAAAGGGACAGAAGCCATAGTTTTCACTGATAGCGATGTAGTCCCGGATATTTGTCCACACAGTCATGCCATGGTTATCGAGGAGATAAATGGAAATGTACAAGTCAGTCGGGTTTATGTGGACAACGACAGCACGGTGGACATCATCTACACGATTGTTTCAAAAAGATGAACATTCAAAACCCTAACATCCGCCCGACAACAATGCCATTAATGGGCTTCTCGGACCACACTATTATCCCTACCGGAATCATAAGTCTCCCCATCATGGTACGGTCGCATCCCAGAATGGTTACACTAACCATGGATTTTGCCTTAATAGATGTATCCTCGCCGTTCAATGTGATCTTGGGATGGCCCTGGATGTGCCAAGCCCGAGCAATTTGGTCTCCTTATCACCTAGTGATGAAATTTCCTACAGGATATGGAGTTGGAGTAGTGCAGGGC